ACAGTTGACATTCAATAGTATTTTATATTGCTCTGCATCATTAATTTCTGCTTTCATATTTATTGTATCCTTTTGCTTTATAAAGGTGGTTGCATCTTATCTTCATTGTGAATGGTGGATTTTTGCACTAAAAAGTGTCCTCTTTGTCATATTTAATGCATTTTTTATGAATTCTACCTATATCAGGATTACAACACCTACTTTCTTATAGTTTCCATTTGTCTGCTGTACTATTGTGCATCACTTTATCTTTAGCTGTTCTGAATCACTTTATTTTAGTGTTCCTCTAGCATACTCGTACAGCATATAGTTGCATCTTGCATTGCGAGACCAATTGAAAATCTTACTTATTTTAGTAGGTAAGTTAAATCCATTTACAGTTATTGATACGACTGATATGTTTGGAGTCTGTCCTATTATTTTACGTTATTACACGATATGTATTTTCTGTATTTCTTTCTCTATGTGATGTGTTTTCTGTGATGTTTTACATACTCAAATATTTATATATGTATTTATTTTTAGGAAGTTTTATATATATTTTTTCTAATGGTTGCCTTTGTACCTTTTTAAAGTACCCTGTTTTCTGCTTTCTTATATAACTTTTCACCATCTGGTTTGTCAGTTTTTAATGGCCTACTTTACCTTCCTTTTATTGACTATATGACATTCAAATTAGTCTATTCTGCTTTCATTTTTCTCTATTCCTTCTCCTCACTTTTCAGTTGCTGTGGTTTTACTTTATCAGAACAAATACCGTTTGTATTTTATTCTCCTACCTTGCCCCACCTTTGTTTTCATCTTAGATCTACAGTTTAATATATCAGATGGTCACCATGAATTTTTTTGCTGAAGGTTCCCTAGTTACCTTTTGGATGAAGCTCATTGTCTAGTAGATGCCTTAAAAGTACAATGAACCCTGAGATCTTTCGTGTTTAAAACTTCTCTGTGACCTTGATACTTGAAAGATCACTTGGCTGGATATAAAAATCTTGGTTCCCACTTTCTTGATTTGAATATCATTAAAATTCAGTCCTTTTGTTGCTTTGCTTCTATTTAGCTTTTGATAAGTCTGATGCAGCCGAACTCTTTTGCTGTTGGATCTTATTTGTTTATTTCTTTGGGTGGAGGCGCTGAGGATTTTTTCTTTATCTTAAAAGTCTAATAGTTTACTTGGATAAGCCTCAGGGTTGATTGTTCTGGTGGCAGGCACTTTCTCAGGTATCTGGTGGGCCCTTTCAGTATTTATATTTTTCATTTTTGTGAAGTTATCTTGGATTATAGTTTTCAATGTTAACTCTCTTTCAGTTTCTCTCTAGAGACTTTAATTATACGTATGTTGTTCTATTTCAACCATTTTATTTTTTACTTCTTTTTAATCTCATTTAATTCTTTTTGGTTGTTTTTCTGTATTTCTTCAATCCCCGTATTAAATTTTCATTCTAGCCTATCCTTCTATGGGCACCATGATAGTCTCACTTTATTTCTGATATGGATTTGTCTTTTCCTTTTGTTTCTTTCCTGAATTCAGACACTTTTGTTTCTTTTCCTCCCTGCTTTTTGTCCATTTCTGTTCTGAGTTTTTGGATTTCTGACTCAAGGTGTTTTCTTCATACCCCAGTGCTTATTTGAGACTATTTATTTCAGTTTACTGGGTTACATTTTTTTTCTAGTTTATGGGCTTTTTAAAAAATATGGAGTTTTTCCCAATCTGAAATGTTTTGATTATAATCATCTTTTTTTAAAAAATGAATATTAATTCCATAGACAGAATTGGTAGTTTAGGAGGGTTAATAAGATTTCTAGATTAAGAGTGCCCTCTTCTGTCATTGAATGAAGTGCAGTTTCTTTAAAGGATATTTTTGTTGTTTAGTGAGGGTGGGGATGAATTGTATGTTCTTCTGTTTTGGGGTTTTCTCTTGCCTTGTAGAATCTAGCATTTCCCCCTTTCTTCTTTTTCCCATTACTACTTAGTCTCCCAAGGATACCAATTCCTTCTTTTTAATCCTCTTCTTTCCCTGAAGCAGTGACTTTCTCGTACCACTACTTCAAGTCTCATAGACTTTTCCTCCTTTGTTTGTCGTCAGTACTCTTATATACCAGTTCTCCTTTTTTTTGTTTTGTATTGGGGAATTGGGGGGATGGGAACAGCGCTGGGGAATTGGGGGAAGGGGAACAGACAAGTTGCTGTCGTTTTGTTCTTCAATCTAGTTGTGGCAACCCACTGCCACAGGGGCTGCAGCCTACGCCGTCGCCGGTGACTCACGGCAGCCCAGCTCCAGGTTGAGCTGTTGTTCAGCATCTTAGCAGTGACAGCAGTGTCACTGGCCCTCATATGTGGGATCCGAACCAGGGCCCTGTGGCGTCCCAAGCCAGTTCTTAACCATCGCGCCACTCGGCCGGCTCTATACCAGTTCTCTTTTTCAGTGCTTTTACCCACTTAAGGTGGAATTTCTTTTTCTGGAAGTGAATCTAGCTCACTCTAGGCCCTTTGTTTCCCTCTTCTCTTTCACACGGCTCTTGTAGAATCTTCTCACTGTATACAATGAGTTGTGGGAAATATGAGAGATAGCTTTGCTGGAATTTGGTATTTATTTTTCTATTAAAAAGTAATTTAAAACTTATAGTATTCTCTGTCTTTCAGTTATGATGACAGCATGATTTTATGTTGTTTTATTTGCTCTTCTTATAGAGTCAAAGAATATTTTGGAGAGTGTGTGGAGAGATTTATATTTAAGGGACCATCATTATCTTTAAACAAATTGGAACTCTAATCCATAATAAATTCTTTTTTTTTTTTTTAAAGATTTTATTGGGGAATTGGGGGAGGGGAACAACGCTGTCCAGGTGTCTGCAAGCCTGTGTTTATTCTGGCAGCTCGAGGGGGAGAACCTGGTTTTTTGCTCTTTCCAGTTTCTAGAGCCTGCCTACATTCTTTGGCTTGTGGTCCCATCCTCCATCTTTAAAGCTCATCAGCTTAACATCTGCTTTCACCCTTAAATCTCTCTCTAACCCTAATCTTCTTATCTCCCTTTTATAAGGACCCGTGCACTACTATTGAGCCCATCTGGATAACCCGGAATAATCTTCCTATGAAATCACATTTGAAAGTCCTTCTGCCATGTAAGGTCACGTGGTCACAGATTCCAGCGTCTAGGATGTGGACATCTTTGGGGGACCATTATTCAACCTACCATGCTTGTTCTTGCAGATATATAGAAAATTATTAGTTTTTCTGTGTTCTTTTATTGAGGTGCACCTCGCCAAACTCCTGTTATTTGTATTTGTTTTTCTGTTTTCAAGCAGTTTCATATTTGCCTTTCTGTTGATTCTCTTAGGTTTACTGGCAGTTGCATCATTTGTTCCCTTTCTTACTGGTATTTATAGCTCATTTTTTCCTTGCCTTTTTCGACACTGTCTCGAATTTTCTGACTAATGTTAAATAATAGCTATGAGACTGTGCATCCTTGTTATTGTTCTTAACTTTACTAGAAATTGCTTCATTGTTTTACGGGGTGTGTTTTGCAAGTATGGTGGTGTCTAATAAGCACCCTTTTAAATTAAGGAGTTTCTATCAAGTTAAATCCTTGTTTACTAAGATTTTTAGTCAGGAATATATAATTAATGTATTAATCACTATGATAATAAAAGTAACCATGTGATTTTCGTCTTTTAATCTATTAATAGCTTTCCCAATAATGATCACCTCTGTGTTTCTGGAATAAATCTCCCCTGGTCATAGTGTATTATTCTTTGAATGTACTGCTCACTTCTGTTTGCTAATATTTTATTTTGTATTTTTGTGTTTATCATGATCAATGCGTTTAGCATAGTGTGTTTAGTGATTGGTTGTGCCACCCTTGTATAGTGTGGGTATGTGGATTTTGTAGTCCTATTGAATGAAGTGGGAAACTTTTCACCTTTTGTATGGTCTGGAACCGTTTCAATAGTATTGAAGTTATTTGATTGTTGTAGGTTTCATCAGTGTGAGGTGCGTTGGACCACTACTATTATCTCTAAAACCATCTCCTATAACCAGTAGTGAGGCTGTATTATCCTGAACCATCTATACTTTCTTACCTACTCTGTCTGACGACATTTGGAGTATGGCATGTGACCTGTGGGACTGGTTTTCCATGGGCAAAGCTGCCCAGTCCATCAAGAGCACTCACGTCCACCAAGTGGGCTTCATCTGTAGGAACCTGTCAGGCCAGGGGCTTACACAATAAAGACTTGGCTCCTAGGAGACGTTTTTTTTTAGGTGCTTTGGGAGTTGTCTCTATCACTTATTAATCATTACAGTGTTCCTATGAAACTTCTTAGCAAGTCTGTTCTATTATTTCTAGTTTAGGGACAGGGATCATTATTGAAGACAATTACCTCTGATAACAGAGTTTTGAATAAGTAGTCTTTATTTTAAAAAGCTTGGGGTGGGGGTTCTATATTACACTGTACCAGATATGAACTAATTTTTGGATTGATTTCCATGAAACTGAGCAGAGGTCAACAAGTGCTTTGATCACAAGAGATGAGGAAGTCCAAACCAAGAAGGCTCCCTCTCCGCCTTTCCATCATGAAAAGCTGGACTGCTTGAGATAGGCTTTTTCAGTCCTTCAAGGAGCAATTCTCAATTCTGGGCTGAAATGTTGCTCTCAGCTCAGAATTTCAAACTGATCCTGATTTGTATAAATGAGGTTACCCAAAGCCAGGACAATGACAATTTTAACTTAGTAAACCAAGGGAGTTTGCAGTGAATAGATTTTAACAATTTTTAAGAGGGACCCTCTGACTGGGTATCTTGTGATCTTAAATCTTTCAACAAGACTGAGTACATACGTAATTGTACAAGTGGTGTTTATTAGACTTCTGCCACCAATTTCTAAATTAAAATACTGGTGCAATCTTCCTATGTAAATGTTTATCCTTGGAAAATGTTTTCATTGAAAGGTAGTCTTTTTGTATAGGGTGTCTACTGATTTCTGATTCTTTTCCCCCGACAGTAGAGCAGATTATTGGTAACATTTCAATATTTAATGAAACCTGCTTGAGATGGAGAAATATGAAGATAGCTGGTGGAGAAGAGATGTATTTAGTAAGTTACTGAAAATTACTCTATGAATGTTTGTCTTGTGTGGGAGGCTTAAAAAATATCAACAAACCTAAAAATGTACTTTTCTAGCCACCATTATCAATAGAAGACTTGTAGTGACAGTTACAATCAGAGGTAAGAAAATGAGCACCGTCACTATGTATTTGAAGACAGAGACATTGGGGACTGGTGGTACAGCCAGGAGAGGTTTTTTGTGCACATAGCCTGGTGCAGAGTTGATGTTCAGGCAGGATCCACAGAGGAACCCAATGGCTTTTGCATGTGTGTGTGTCTCTCCACACCAGTGACCCTGACCAGTGAGACGAGCTGCTATTGGAAGGGATGAAGTAGGAAGAAGTGTGTGTGTACAGTATGTGTGAGAACAAGAAAGAGAAAGTTGCCAGAAAGGGAAAGTTGGGCCATTGGCTTTTGGTGCCTTTTGATTTAAAATATATGTATCATACTGATACTATCCTAACTACAATACTTACGGTATGACAACTCTAATATTTACTTACTGTTGTCTTTTACTTTTTGAAGTAACTTTAGAGTTGAGAGCAAGAGAGTTCAGGAGAAAGGGAAGGATCTAAGCATTTAGAATGTTTCAAGCTAGTGATTCACCTGATGACCTTTTCTGTATTTTAGTTCCACGTTCGGGGCCTGAGATGGTATCAAAAGGAATTTGCGCAGGAAATGACCTTTAACATCACTACCAGCAGCCCGGCTCCTGAGATGTGCTTGGACCTGCATCCGGGTACCAACTACAGTGTCAGCGTCCAGGCTTTGTCTTCTGTGCTTCCCGTGGTCATCTCCCTGACAACCCAGATAACAGGTACATCTTGAATAACAGCATTTGGGCGAACAGAGTCACCATGGAGCAGTAGATAGGCCTGGATAAAGAGGAACACTACCCCTTTTTATCATTATATAATGAACTGTAAGAGAGAGGGGAAGAAGGACGTGGAATTGGAGAGGGGTGCTTAGGGGCCTGCAACTGTGACTATAATGTTTTAGTTCTTACAAAGATATCTGAAACAAAATGTTAATGTTGATTAAATCTCGGTAGTGCGTACATGATTGCTGGTTAAATTCCTTCTGGATATTTGAAATATTTCAAGTATTTCATACTTAGAAGGAGTTTTTCCTATGACTGTTTCTTTCTCAGCAACATATTTAATTGTGATTCTGTTGCAAGGGCCTTAAGAATAGGTTTCTCTCAGGGAAAAATGATTGGCAGTTTCACTCTAGTCCATAACAAATTCATTTTCTTGTCTCTCCTCAAACCTGTGATACCCCTCCTTACACACACTCGAAGGTAACACTCAGAACATTATCTTCTCGTTTCTGATTTCACTGAGCCATTAGAAGTCATCAGGTGAGGACTGCCAGTCCCAAATCCCCCAATGCTACCTTCGTGCCACCGAACCGTAAATATCATCTTCTCTCTTGTCCCCACTCCTAGGACCTCCCCCTACCCTGAAACGGGTGACTGGATCCCGCCCCTTCCTGCCGAATCATCACTCCCCCCTCCCCTAATATAGAATTAGTCCCAACACTGCACAAGCCTGTTGTAATATCTCCTTTTTTAGTGAAAACAAAGAAAAACATGCTTGATTCTGTATTCTCTCCAGCTACTTCATCTTCTCTCAGACCCCTTTACAGTAAAACTCCTTGAAAGAAGTGCCTGGTGTAGGCTCCACATCTTTACCGCCTGTTCTGCCTTTACATGGTTCCAATCTGGAAGCATTTGCCTCCACAGCTTTAGTAAAAGGGTCCCTATCTTGCAAAATCCACTGGACAGGTTTGTTCTTATTTGGTTTTCTCTAGAGCATGTGACATTCCCTCCTTCTTAGAATACCTTTTCTCTTGGCTTCTGGTTCCTCCTGCCTTGTTGGCTGCTCCTGCTCAGTCTTCTTCACTGGCTCCCTCTGCTTTTTTTGGTGTACCCTCCACTCTGTCCACCACTCCATGTTCCCTTAGTCTCTTCCCTTCCTTTCTCTTCATTATCTACCCTTTGGGCCTAAGTGATCTCAACTAGTCTCGGGGCTATAATATTATCTATATGCTGAGGGTTCTTAAATATGTACCCTAGTCCCCATGTCTCCCTTGAGTTCCAGACTTGTCTATCCACCCCTCTCTCTTTTTTTTTTAGCTGAGCCATCCTGCCACCTGTTGGCAGCTCAGCGGCTGCTCAGCTTGGGCGGGACTCGAACCACTGTTGCTCAGAGCTCAAACTCTTGAGCGAGCTCTTAACCAACTGAGCCACTCAGCCGGCCCTTATCCACCCCTCTCTTAAACATATTCTGTTGAACATCTAGTAGGCACATCCAACAGAACTTTTTTTTTTCTTTTAAAGATTTTATTGGGGAATTGGGGGAGGGGAGCAGACAAGTTGCTGTCCTTTTGTTCTTCAGTCTACTTGTGGAGGAGGACGTCGCTTCACTGGCCCATGTTGGTATTGTGATCATTGCACTCTTCCCCGGTGAGGCAGATAGGTTGCCGGCCATTGGACAGCTGCTCATGGCAGCTCACGGCAGCCCACTGCAGCCCCACTGCAGCCTACGCTGTCGCTGGTGACTCACAGCAGCGCAGCTCCAGGTCGAGCTATTGTTCACCATCTTTGCTGTAGAGGGCACACCGTCACTGGCCCTCATATGTGGGGTCCGAACCGGCAGTCCTGCTGCTCAGAGCTCACGCTCCCAAGCCAACTCTTAACCAACGAGCCACTCGGCCGGACCCCAACAGAACTTTTGATTTCTCACCTCTTCTCTCACCTCCAGATCTGTTTTCCACCCAGTCTTCTCTGTCTCAGTGATTGGCACTCTTACTCATCAATTGCTGAGACCAAAAGAATCATGATTGGGTCTGTCTCTTCCACCAATTTCTAATCCATCAATAAGCCCCCTTGGCTTGTTTCTTAAATATCTTCTGAATCTAACCACTTCTCCCCACTGTTACCTTCGCCACTAGCAACCTAATCCAAGCCAGCAACCTCTTGCTTGGACTCCTGCAGTAGCTTTCTGACTGGTCTCTCTGCTTTCACAATTGCCTGTCAAGCACCCCACCCCAAGTCTTAATCTTCACCATAGTCAAAGAGATTGTTTAGAAATGCACATGAGTACATGTCATTCCCCAGCTCAAAGCTGTCCAATGAGTTTCTGTTAGTGTTAGAATAGAATCCAAGTCTGCGTACCCTCCCTGGACACTCTCTCCACTCGCTTCCTTACTCCGTAGTCACTCAGGTCTCTGCTAGAATGCCGTCACCTTAGAGAGGCACTCCCTACCCATCCTTTCCTAAATCACCTCCTGTCTCCACCCCCGTCATTCTATCTATCCACTTACCCTGCTTGAATTGCTGCATAGAAACTGTGTTTTCAAAAATTGTATTTTTAAATTTATTTGTTTATTTTCTTTCTCCCCTACTAAAATAGGGGCTCTTTAAAGCCAGATATTTTTATCTGTGTGTTCTACATTGATGCCCCAGCACATAAAGGCAGTGCTAGCACATAGCACGACAAAGAAATATTTTTGTAAGGAATGAATACGAGGGCCAACCCAGAAATTTTCACTGGTGGTATTGGTCTTGAGGAGATGCCTGGTTAGTGAAGAAAGGCTTTACACCAAAAAGAATTTACCACATTTTGGGCTGGAAAGAGAAGTCATGTTCATTTTCAGTATTCCTGTCTGTGTGCCTTATTAAAATGAATAGCTATTCAATCTCCTACTCTTTTGTCCTTGTCATATTCAGATGGTTTGCACTGCTGATTCAAACAGGCATTTCATACTTTCTGAGTTGTGTGGAGGGAGTTTCATCTTGAAAAAAACACTAATTTCTACCTTGCTTTTTAGGCCAAATATAGCCCTAGAAGCCCAAGCATTCTGTGCCTGTGCTTATGGCCACCAGGTGGCACTGTTGAGCTGTTTAAGTTCACTGAGACCATGACTGCATATTTTCTAACTGTATCCTACTTTAAAATTTGCAATTT